TATTTATTTTGAACTACTGCTTGTATATTATTTCTGATTAAAGATATTATGTATTAATAATTAACAAAATTTATTTAATTTGTATTCGCAACCGTTAATGAAGTAATGATCACGTTCATAAAAGGTTTCTAGTTGGACCAAAGATTTCTATCGGTTGAAATTTACATTTTAAATTAACCTTCTTTTCCACAACTAGGGTTATATGACTACCCTACTTATTCTGAATAAGAAAAGAGTTTCTTATTTTTTTCTTTACCATATATTTTTTACATTTGTAGTTTCAGTATTTTTATTATTGCTAGATATTTTGATACTCCACGAATTCCAAGATTATGTAATATAAAATGTGAGGATATTCGCTTTGAGATATATACGTGAAAATATCAGTTATGTAATTGATGAAAACGTGCGGAGTAGATTTTTACAATCACACTTTTGGCGGTCCTCCAACGAATTATACTAGAAATTAACGAATTATAAAAGTTTGTTTTTAAGAAAATATACAAATGTACTCAATATCGAGAAAGCAGGAAAAGATCAGAAATATGAAAAGAAATATATTAGGAAAAGCTTCACACTAAATAGGTATAAATTGATTTTTTAAATTCATTTACACCATCGAGTGATGTAATGAAATTTGCAATTATAGTGAAACTTTCGGATGAGCCCGAAATGAAAATGAAATAGCGGCGGCCAACAATCTAGGTTGCGTAATCGGAAACAAGCCGTTGCTGTATAGCACCGATACTGCTTAATGAACTCGAGACAATCTTTTATTGTCTGCTTGGACTGGGATAAATTGTGATAGATTATTCCCCGGGTCTTCTAAATCCGAGGCCAAGTCTATTCGACTTTCAGTTTGTACATTGAGCAGGAATAGGGTCGAACTTTTAGACTTTTCTCATAACACAAGTTTACGAAAAGCAAAAAATGAATTATTGTTTGCAATAAAAATTGCTGTTAAAGCTATGTTCATTTGATGTATAATTAAGCAGTTGTTATTGTTTTATTTGTTGGTGTATGTAATGGAATTGACATTCAGTGTGCAGAGCAGCACAACAATGCTACCCTATTTCTTATAAGCGAATGAAAGCCTCTAGAGACGTCGTGGTGGCAGATTGCTTACAGTCATTCACTTTGGACTCCTTTGTAAAATATTTACTTTACCCGCCACAACTATTTCGAAATACTTCCTCGTTTAACTTAGTTTTCCATTTAAACGAATTTCCCTCTAAGCAAATTCTTTTTTCAGTAAATATTTTGGAAAAGTCAAGTCATAAATGTATAACATTTTCCTCATATTTTTTTCTTTTCTATATATTCCGTTGAAACAGACTATGTAATAAAATAAATGAGATTTCTTTCCAGATGTACATACAATATTAAAATATATTCAATGTATAATTTTAAAACATATTCATTTATTTCATATTATATAGTGTTCAGAGTCTGAAAATTTTGAAAAGGGTGGATGGTTTTAATTCCTATAGCAATTGAGATTTCAAAAAAGAATTTTCTTTTAAAGAGGAAAGCGCTGTGTTAGTGATAACCTATTAATTAAAATATCTATAAACGATCACTCAACTGTGCGATATAAAAAGAAAAAGTCACTTTATATTTCGAATTTTTATGTTTTAATTCTATACAAAATATTTCCATAAAAACGGTTATAAATGTCGATTTTCGTCATACGAACTGATTTATTAATATACAATTAATTTGCTGCATACATAAGTACAAAAGCTAAACATTGCTAGAACATTGAAAGTGTGTTTGAAAATTTATCAAATGAATAAAAATATCAAAAAAATAGATTTATTTAGAGTATGAAGTAGATATTTTTTTATATATTGCCCTGGGGTTCTTGATGTCACGTTATATGCGATCTGTTCTATGATTTACTGCACTCTTCTTCCACTACTATTGAACGGTTCGTGCACTGAACGAGAAATCCTATATTATGACGTGTCTAGGATTGAATTTATGGGTCCCATTCATTTTACTTTATAAATGATAATTAAAAACCCAAATGACACCGTATCCCACATACATACATCTCTTACAGTACGTTCCGTTTAATGAAATGGCTTTACGCAATAATGTTTTCTTAACTTGATTTATATCATCCATTGAGAAATGAAATACCTCGTAGCTATTTTGTTTTCATTGACGGAAATACAGAAATCAATTTGGCTTTTTGCAGAATCTGTGTAAAAAAATTTAAAGGCATATTTTTTATGTCTATTTGTCAGTTAACGAAATAATTTTATCTCTAAAAGGTAGAATTTGTACATCTGAGATAAAATTTCATATTTATACGAACAAAAATATAAATAGATTTCTTTTTTTTTTAAATTAAGATTTCCGATAAAAGGTAAAAATGAAAAAGTACTACTAAAGAAGTCGCAAATAGAATAATTCTTTAAAACATGTCGTCTCTCGCCTGTCATAGCCTGTTAAATAATCCTATTTCCAACAAATTCCTCTAACGTTATACCGTATTTAGTAAATTCAGAAAAGAAAATATTTTTGTCAAAATATTAGACAAAAATTGTTTTTATTATCAGATCTCAATTATTATATTTTAATAATATTTTTCTTAAGGAATAAAATCTAGTTTTTTCTCTCTAATATCGTTATTAAAAACAGCAAAATATATTACATGAGTATTAATTCAAGTAATGAATGTGTTTGATGTAACTACGAAGGCCCAGAACTGATTTGAGATCAAAATATTAATGGGTGGCCATATAACATCTATTGGGAATACTGAGTCCCTTACAAAGCGGCCTCAGCGTCAGCCATTAGCCTGGTCATTAAGTTGTCTGACTATAAGAGTGCACTTAGTCACTCAATACGAAACCTGTGTTGGCCTACGTTTGGGCTATAGATAAAGCAACCGAGAACATCAATATCGTTAATCGAGAAGCATCTATTACTTTGATCAATATCAAAGCTTATACTCGAACTACACAGTATATACTCACTGTGACGCTTCTAAATATTACGACAGTCAAATTTGATTGAAGTCATCGATTTGAAGACGAACGTGTATTTCGTAAGTAATATAACATATCGGATATTCCATGAATCTTCCTAGAAATTTAATATGTATCAAGGATAATATGCATTCATGCATCCTTCTATTTTCGAATTTGCAGCGTACTCAGTATATCTATTGTGGGTTAGAACATTTACATATGAACAGACCGATAACGTATATGTAAACTAGAACCTTTGGTATATTTACTTGAAATTAATAATATCGAATGTAGATTAAAATTATGATAAATTTAAATTTGCATAGTTTCGACAAGTATTCTTTATAATAATGTAACTTAGGTGTATAGGTTTATTTTGTTATATATTTTAATTCTTTTTTTATGTAACGTGCTATTTTAACTAACTAGGCACTTAATATACCATTAAGGACAAATGATGTGCGTCTCACGTTTTTGACTTACCGAATATAATACATTTAATTATACAAACTCTATTGCAACTCATTAGCGTGAAGCTCCGCGATATGAGAATCCCATTAGTAAAACAGGCTTTATTGCGAAATTGTATATAACTTGTTAAATTAAATTGAATTTTCTATTTATTATTTACTTGCAAATTAAAACTTTTTGAATGAGTGCGTTCCATGTAATATTTACAATGAATTTAACACGTGAAATAACTTCACTGTCACTTGGTTATGTATTAGAAGTTTATGAATTAAACTTCTATTAACTTTAAGATTTAAAGTTTCACGCAAAACAAAGTCGTCAGGTTTACTTTATCTCTGATAACTCAACTGATTTAATCACTTCTAAATATTGATCGCTGGTGTTACAATTATAGCTCAGAACAATATCCATAATATTTTTTTTGAAATCTTAAATATTTAAATATCTTTAGTGATTAAAAATCTATCATATCTTATACTGCATACCTTATATGTAGGATGAATAGGTAAACAGAATATTATTTTTATTCTTACAATTATTTCTTTAAAATTAAATAAATTATTATATACTATTAAATCAAAGTATAAATAGAAAACATAAAATAAAATAATCCTATACACGTGCGAGATTCGACCTTGCTATCTCCAGAATATCGCGTTCCATTTACTCTACCAACTAAGCTATCATATCTATTGTTATACCTTTTTATTATTAAACTATAATTTATTACTTTCCATACTTATTATGAGATACATGTTATTTATTATATATTACACTTAGGATCATAATTACTTTATTGTATTTTGAAGAACGGAATAATGTTGTTCATTCATCCTCATTAACAAAGGATCATATACCGCTATAGGTTTCTTCTATAACACAATCTCTTAAAATGTTCTTCTCATTTTATTAAAATAATACTAACAGTATAATTTCTTATGAAACAAAGTATACTTTAATTGTCAAGTAGAGAGAGTTATCCTTGTTCATTGAAATCAAAAATAATTGGCATGAAAAAAATCTCTTGAAGGAAATTTGTTCAAGAAACTACAAATTTTCAATATTTTATACGAATACTCGATCATCGAGCACTTAAAGTGGTTAGAGAAATTGCTACAATATTTCTTACTCACTTTTAAGAGTTGAAGCATGAAGTTTCGACATTATTGAGGGGTTGATTATTCGAGCTTCTTTTGAGACTTGCTAAACTTGACTCAAGTGGGTTCGGGATTGTTATATATGCTTACCATTCCATTTGAATATGAAAGTAATTTAATTTAGTTTTGCTTTATTCTTGTTTTTGTTATCTGTATGGAATTTTTATTCTATTATATTTGAAAATTTAATAGTTATTAGTTTTCGTTGAAGTTTGCTTTAAAAGTTTTTATAAAAGGAAAATATACATCAAAGTCTTACTACAATATGAGCAAAGTAAACATATAAAGGAAATAAATAAGGCTAGCTTCTTCTTCCATAAAATATATTATAATACTTACAGTTTGTTTAATAATGTTGTATCCATTTGCTTATCTACATTATTTATTACAGCTTCGCGTATTCGATACGAGATCACGAGCGGTAACATAGGTGGTGCTTTTGCCGTCAAGAACATGACGGGAGCTATCTATGTAGCGGGTGCACTCGACTATGAAACTAGGAAACGGGTAAGTCTTCACGTTACATGAGCAATTGAACAGCTGTTAATATGAACATGTCAAACGCCTCCAATCTATCATGGGTAAATTGATAGTATATGATCGTAATTGAATTCTATGACAAACGGCTATTTTAAACTCTTTATCATTTTAAGATATAGGATTTGGTTGTGCAATATTTAATAGTGTAATAAAAATAAGTAAGTCCATTCTCTAAATCACATCCTTTAAACAGCAGAGGCTTTTGCTATGATACTTTAGCCCCAGCTTGATACCATTATTTCAGCAAATGGCCTAAGGGCGTAAGTCAGCCATTTACAAATGACTGTCGTGATAGCCGTGGCGTTGGCACTCGGACAAAATGCGTTGTACTAAAACATTTGACATTTACACACTCACACATACATACAATGCGTTGTATTGAGTCACTGATTTTAGAATACGAAATAAGTGTTTGTATATATGATAACCAAAAGGTATAGATATCATATACATATAATGATTCGGGTCTAAGGTTTATATTACGAAGCCGACTTAACTAAATATTATCCCAGTTCGATTTGAGATAAAGGGGTTGTAACTTTAGAATAAACAAACTATGTAAGCAGTTGGAGAGTAAAGAACAATATTCACAATTGTATTTATAAAGAATACTGTCGATATCTTATTGCATCTGTATTATACAGCTATACTTACTGGTCTTTGTTGCCTTCGAGACAGATTCATTGAACTTTTCGCGAGATAAATAATTTAATCTTTAATACCCATTTAAGCAAGCCGGCGGAGCAACTGCCGAGGGCTGAATTGCCATTAAATAGCAGATCCTCGTAAAGCTTAAATGGATGGATGTAAACCAGTTTATTTTGTAAAATCCGTTTTACTTTATCCAATTGTAACTGATTCTGACTTTAATGTCTTTCAACTTAAACACGTATAAATTTACTTAATAAGGTAGTAGTACTTAATAAATAACCTGTCTATATCTCAGCGTATGGTCAAAGTAATATGTTAACATTGGTATATTCAAAGATGTTTAAGAACATCTGTTGTACGTGGTAATAATTTAATGTCTGCTCCGTATATTCACCTCACGTAAGTTGTAAATTTTGTAACGAAGCATTGCAGAAATCGAAGTGACCTAAAATATGGATGCAAAGTATCGAATACTATGAACAGATGTCTATTGGTAAAAATGCGATTTAAATAGTTAATATACTTCCCTAGGCTTGCTTTCTTGAAGGTGGTCGTACAATAAAACGTTTAAACTCTTGTAATTTTACAATACGGCACTCGCTATAGTAATATGCTCGAAATGACTTTTGAAACAAACCATTTTCCTTCCGGTTGAGGAAATAACGGAGTGACATGGACAGATGACGCCAATAACTTCCCCGGGTCCCAACCACAAATGCCACCCCCTCTATTGTTAAAAGCAAACGCCGCTCAAGATTTTATCGTTCCCGCTTACTTTCAGTATATGTGTGTCTTGTTAATTACTTATTTAACATCGTAAAAATGTCTTGTAACTTAAATATAATTTGCAGAAAAAATTACGTTGCTTTAAGACCCAATAACTTTGTTAATCTAAAATATGAATGTCTATCTTCAAAGTTATCAGAGTTCTTAATTATGGCTTCTCTTTTATATCACGGCAATTTTTAAAAATTAATTCAGGGTGGCATAAAAATCTTAGTATAATTACTAGATCTAGGTTTACTAATTAAGTAAAATTTGTATCGGGATAACAGTACGAGTTGAAGTTGGCTGCTTCGGACAATCTAAAAGAGAACTATACGACAGTGGTTATCCACGTAAAGGATGTGAATGACAACCCACCAGTGTTCGAGAGACCGACCTATCGTACTCAAATCACAGAAGAAGATGACCGCAATCTTCCCAAGCGTGTGCTTCAGGTCCGCTTCGTCACGATAAGACCTCATTTGATTCTTTGGTCCATTTTGAGGCTTATTTGTGTAGAAAGAATCGCATGGGGTTGTTTTCCGATATCTCTATTGACCCTCCATCGTTTTTTTTATAGTGTTTGCATGGCATGGTTTTATCGTTGTGTCGTTTTGAAGTAGTGTCGTCGAGCTAGTGTCATTGATGTTATTTTTATCTTGTATTCCTGTGTTTTTATTTTTTTCTTTTAGTTTTTTTTTTGTTGCTTTATGCCACTTACTATTGAAATATTTAAAAAATGTAAACGTTTCTTAAATATTACGTTTTAATTTATACATATTTAAACATAACGTTACGAAATAAGATTAAAGTAATTATGAGAAAACACAATTGATGTCAATTGAAATAAAATTAAATTAATTACAGAAGCTTAATTTTTTAGCTTTAACTGTCTGATTACTCAATACAGCTATTTGAAGCTGATAGTTAATTTAAATTAACGAATTATGCTAATTACAGCGTATAAAATTGAATGATTCACATTGCAATATCATTCATTGTCTTTTAAATTATAATACAATTTATACACATTCGTTGAACTTTGTAGTAAAGTTATATTCTTGTCGGCCGTAACAACATAAAAACAAACGCCTTCACGTAAAAATCAAAAATATAAAAATTAATGTTTAATTTTTTCTAAAGTCTGTTCATGATTTACAATGTATGTCGACAACCCTAAAAATGTTCTTAAACTGAGCAATTTATATTTTCTTGCAGTACCGACTTTTACCGACTTTATAAGTTTTGTTTTATGTTTTATTTTATTCTTAAAATTTTGCTTGCCATAATTTTTAGATGCTATGATTTAGAGCTGCTGCATGAATTGTTAAATATTCATGCAGCATTTCTATCGCATGGGCATGAGCTAATGTGCGCTTGTGCATAGTACGAGCTCACCTTGGTGGCGTCGGACGGCAGAAACGAGAACTCAACTCGTGTGGTGGTCCACGTACTAGATATCAACGATTTGCCACCTCGGTTCTCGCGCAGCGCATATATCACCCAGGCCTTAGAGGAAACAGGGCCCTACCCCCACTTCCTTATACAGGTTTTTTTTAGTTTGTTCATTCCTTTTTTTTAATGATAAACCTATATTATTTTCTAATAAAATAAATACCTCTTTCATTTATACATTTACTTTGATTATCATCGAAGTATTTTGGATATCATTTTACAGTCATCCCTTCTATATGCATATATTTTTCCATTCTCCTTTAATCATTATCAAGGTAAGTTGTAAACTGTATGATTGTTGACTGTATATAGGTATAAAAGATTTAAAAGTTTGTACTTCCTCTTTTCTTTCATTATTATTATTTTGCATGTTAAATTTTACCTTCCCACCATTTCTAATCTTACTGATTTAAGCAGAGTGTCAAAGCCTTTTTTTATTTTTGTATAGTAAGATCTTTGTAGACTTGGCCTTCGTTTGGTTTGTTTACTCAATTTAATGAAACATCTTTGTAAGCGTCTTTAAGAAGACACTTAAAGAAATTAAAAAGTAAGAGATTATTTTCAATTCACAAGTCAATTCTACATTAGCATTTGTTCAATCAGTTTTAATTACTTTTTGATAGGAAAAAGGTTTAAAGCCTCAGATATCTAAAGAATCTTTTTTTACCATGGATTTGGAAACTTAATCACGGTTTCTTATTGGAATGTTTTTATTTGAGGCTTATAATCTGTAACTTGGAGTAATTTATATAAAGTATAATGATAAAATACAAGAGGAAGTGAAAATAAACATATTAAAATTATGCTTACTTTAGTTTGAGGTTCCGTTTGTTTTTTAATTATTCTTATGAAAAAGTCACATTGTTTATTTATGATTTTTATCAAAGTATTAATATAGTTACGGAAGATATTACCGATGCTTTTAAAAGTTTTTTTATTTTTATAATTGGTCTATATTCGTAAATGATCCGAGTGATTACGCAAACGTCGACCCTCTTCATTTCCCTTTGCCTTCCAATCAAAAGAGAATAAGGCTTCTATTTTCTTGTCTAAATTAACGGATGTGTTGATATTTTTGACTCAGTATAACCGGTTTCATTCATATTGAAATTATAATTGTGGTGCAAAATTTAAACATAATATTAATTTAAATTCCGGAGTAAACTTCATATTTTGTTACATCATTTTGAACATATTTCATTACAATGAGATATGTTTTAATTTTACCGATAGTAATCACATATAACTTTTATTTTTTCATAACGACTTTTGAAAAGCTAGCAACTTGGTAAAACTGAATATAAAAGAAGAAGAAAAATTGATTTATATTATTCTAACATTATCGGAACTTTTCTTAACTCTTTAAATATCCTGAAACTTGCTCAGGGAATGTTTAAAAAGAGCAAAGTTTTCGACGCCCCCGTTAGCAGGGAACAGCCGTTGTCGCTTTCGAGCCGGGCCCTTTACAAACAATCTGCGAATGTTAGCGGGTTCATAATTTAAAGAAACTTCCGCAACATCTCCTCCACTATAATAGTTCGTATAATAATTCATATTCTACGCGTCTGAGATAGATACTTAAAAATAAAACTACTATGTTCGTCAAAAATATTTTATCATATTTATGATAACAACTTCTTATGTAAATCAAAAAGATATTTAAATAAGATATTTCATTTTGGACATAAAAGTAGACAATTTAGGTTTCAAATAATTCCCATATTATAAGATAAAAAGAAAAAGACAAAAATGTAATAAAATATCTCAAATATCTCAAACAAACAAAACAAAGGCCTAGTTTATTTGTTTAAGTATTATTTTATTCATCATTTCAATAGTAATTTGATAGATTTTATGATACTGCCAGTCTTATTTACTTGTAGCACCGCCTGGTTAAGTAGTTTTTTTAGTAGTTGGCTTGTTATTTCTAAAAAATCTGTGTCTGAATTATAAGTAATAAGTCGTGATAATCATCCATTTATTGTCAATCTTAATAGCTTTTGATTGTGAAATTTTGCTTTAAAAAGGGATAATTTTTTTTTTTCTTATAACTCAGGTCACTGCGACAGACGGCGACAAGGATAGACAACAGAATATTGTTTATTTCCTTACCGGCCAGGGCATTGACCCAGATAATCCTTCAAATAGCAAATTTGATATTAATCGAACAACAGGAGAAATCTTTGTCCTTAAGGTAAAGTAAACATTTCTTTTCCACATTAATTCAACTTAATTATTTTAAATTATAAATTTGTCTTTGTTTTCTTTGCCTTTTTATTAATAGTAATAGTATTGATTTACAGCCCTTAGATCGAGATCAACCTAATGGACGGCCACAGTGGAGATTTACAGTATTTGCCCAAGATGAAGGAGGAGAAGGACTCGTAGGTTACGCCGATGTACAAGTTAATCTTAAGGATATTAATGACAATGCCCCTATTTTCCCACAAGGAGTTTACTTTGGCAATGTAACAGAAAATGGTACAGCGGGAATGGTTGTTATGACGATGACTGCAATTGATTATGATGATCCAGCTGAAAGTAACAATGCAAAACTTTGGTATTCCATCGAGAAAAATGTTATTGAGGAAGAGACAGGATCCCCAATTTTTGAAATCGAACCAGAAACCGGGGTCATTAAAACAGCGGTATGTTGTTTGGACCGGGAAAGAACTCCAGATTATTCTATACAAATAGTAGCTTCGGATGGAGGGGGGTTAAAAGGAACAGGTACAGCATCAATTAGAGTTAAAGATATAAATGATATGCCGCCTCAATTCACAAAAGATGAATGGTTCACGGAAGTAGATGAAACAGATGGAACGAATTTACCTGAAATGCCGATTCTCACTGTAACAGTTCACGATGAAGATGAAACTAATAAATTTCAATACAAGGTTATAGAAAACAGTGGATATGGTGCTGATAAATTTACAATGGTTAGAAATAATGATGGGACAGGATCTCTTAAAATTGTACAGCCTTTGGATTATGAGGATCAGTTGCAAAGTAACGGTTTTAGGTTCAGAATACAAGTAAATGATAAAGGTGAAGACAATGACAACGATAAGTATCACGTAGCTTATTCATGGGTAGTTGTGAAACTTCGAGATATAAACGATAACAAACCGCAATTTGAACGAGCAAATATTGAAGTATCTGTGTATGAAAATGCGGAAGTCGGAAAAAGCCTCGAAACATTTAAAGCCACGGATCCAGACCAAGGAGGTAAAAGTAAAGTGTCGTATGCTATTGATAGATCCTCTGATAGGAAACGTCAATTTTCAATTAACCAGGAAGGTACTGTTAGCATCCAAAGATCTTTAGATAGAGAAGATACACCTAGACATCAAGTTAAAATTTTGGCTATTGATGACGGTGTTCCTCCAAGGACAGCCACAGCCACCTTAACAGTAATCGTACAGGATATAAACGATAATGCACCCACGTTCTTAAAAGACTATAGACCCGTTTTAACTGAACATATAACTCCTAAAAAAGTTGCCGAAATTCTAGCAACAGATGACGATGATAGATCTAAGAGCAATGGTCCACCATTCCAATTTCGGCTAGATCCGGGTGCTGATGATATTATAAGAGCTTCTTTCAAAGTTGAACAGGACCAGAAAGGTGCAAACGGTGACGGTATGGCAATCGTTTCATCCTTAAGATCTTTTGATAGAGAACAACAAAAGGAATATCTTATTCCCATTATTATAAAAGATCACGGTAATCCAGCTATGACTGGAACGAGCACTTTAACAGTCGTAATTGGTGATGTGAATGACAATAAAATGCAACCAGGTTCTAAGGAAATCTTAGTTTATAATTATCAAGGGCAAGCACCAGATACCGAAATTGGAAGAGTATACGTGTATGATTTAGATGATTGGGATTTACCAGACAAGAAATTTTTCTGGGAAAGTTCAGAACATCCTAACTTTACATTAAATGAAGAAACTGGAATGATTCAAATGAAACACAAAACAAGGGAAGGTAGATATCACTTAAAATTCAAAGTATACGATCGAAAACACACGCAAACAGATGTCCCTGCAAATGTCACTGTTTATGTTAAAGAAATTTCGTCTGAAGCTATCATGAATTCGGGTTCTATAAGAATATCGGGTATATCTGACGAAGATTTCATAAGAGTATGGAATTATAAAACTCTAAGTGTTTCTAGAAGTAAGTTAGATATATTCAAGGATAAATTAGCGGATTTGCTTAACACAGAACGCGAAAATATCGATGTATTTAGTGTTCAACTGAGGAAAAAAACATCCACCTGTGACTGATATTCGTTTTTCTGCCCATGGAGCTCATTACTATAAACCAATAAGATTAAATGGAATAGTTCTTATGCATAGAGAAGAAATAGAAAGAGCCGTAGGAATCAACATTACCATGGTAGGAATAGACGAATGTCTCTACGAAAATCAAATGTGCGAAGGCTCTTGTACTAATGTTCTTGATATTAGCAATTTACCTTATATGGTAAATTCAAATAAAACAGCACTTGTTGGCGTTCGTGTTGATGTTATTGCGGAATGTACTTGTGGTGCTAGAAATTTTACTCAAGCCGAAACTTGTCGTAACTCGCCTTGTTACAATGGTGGTAGATGTATAGAAGGTAAATATGGATTGACTTGTTCATGTCCTCCCGGATATACAGGACCTAGATGTCAACAGACATCCCGGAGCTTTAGAGGTACAGGTTGGGCTTGGTATCCTTCGTTAGAAATGTGTGATAGCTCTCATTTAAGTTTTGAATTTATTACCAGAAAGTCGGAAGGAGTTTTACTTTATAATGGACCAATTGTTCCGCCCGAACCAGAAGAAATAGTTGTATCCGATTTCATTTCAGTTGAATTAGAAAGAGGAAATCCAAGATTATTAATTGATTTTGGATCAGGTACACTAGAGTTGAGGGTAAAGACTAAAAAATCCTTAGATGATGGCGAGTGGCATAGACTAGATATATTTTGGGACACCGAAAATGTCAGAATGATCGTTGATTTCTGCAAATCGGCGGATATTCAAGAAATGGAAGACGGAACTCCACCCGAATTTGACGACTCAACTTGTCAAGCTTCTGGAACGATACCACCATTTAACGAATACTTAAACGTCAATGCACCTTTACAAATTGGTGGTTTATACATTGAACATTTTGATCCTACGCACTATCATTGGCAGTACATGCCAATTGGAAAAGGATTCGATGGTTGTGTTAGAAATCTAATACATAATAGTAAATTATATGATTTAGCACATCCTGGTCTGTCTAGAAATTCTGTTGCTGGATGTCCGCAAACAGAAGAAATTTGTAATCAGGCTGACACTACGACAAGATGTTGGGAACATGGCACTTGTGTCGGAAGTTTCTCGGAAGCCAGATGCCAATGCCAGCCAGGTTGGACGGGACCATCCTGTAATCTACCAACAACACCCACCAGTTTTAGACCACAAAGCTACGTAAAATTCGCATTGAGTTTTGAGCCTGATAGGTTTAGCACACAGATACAACTAAAGTTTAGAACTAGGGAACCTCATGGAGAACTGTTCCGAGTGAGCGATCAACACAACAGAGAATATGGCATTTTGGAGGTCAAGGATTCACGATTACATTTCCGTTATAACTTAAATTCGTTACGGACGGAGGAACGTGATGTTTGGTTGAATTCCGTGCCAGTGGATGATGGACAGTGGCATATAGCTAGAGTGAGCCGATATGGTAGCGCTGCGACTCTCGAAATCGATGGAGGAGAAGGCAGAAGATATAACGAAACATTCACATTTGAAGGACACCAATGGCTACTGGTAGATAAACAAGAAGGTGTATATGCTGGAGGCAAGGCCGAATACACCGGCGTTCGAACGTTTGAAGTATATGCAGATTTTCAGAAAGGCTGTCTAGATGATATTAGATTAGAAGGTAAACATTTACCGTTGCCACCGGCGATGAATGGAACTCAATGGGGTCAAGCAACAATGGCCAGAAACTTAGACCGGAACTGCCCTTCTAATAGTCCCTGTATAAACGTTCACTGCACCGAACCCTTCGTCTGCGTCGACCTCTGGAATGAATATGAATGCACGTAAGTATAATATTTATTAAATGTCAATCAGTTAAAAGCTAAAATCAAAATTTTAAACAAAGTAAAGTAAAAACGTTTGCAAAAATATTATTATTAATTTTTTGAAGTTTGAAAATTGTTTATTCAACTTTGTTATTTATAAATTTGAATGTATTAAAAAGTTTATCTTTTCCTGAAACGCGCACTGAGTTTTTTATTTATACTTATTAATAGTTATAAAATTTATATGTACTACATATATATCATTTATTAACATTTAATATATACAGCTTTCTAAAACCTTTGCCTATTAAATAACACGATTAATATACATGTACATAATTTATAAGCTTATTCATATAATTATTAAAATTCCTACATTTTAGAGTATTAATCTATTTTTGTAACTTTATATGTGTATAATGTATATGTTAACATTGAAATGGTGTCTAGTTGCGGTGAGGGTTTGGTATTGTCTGGTGACGGAAAAGGTTGCGTAGACAAGAACGAATGTCTCTACTTCCCTTGCCGAAACGGGGGTTCGTGTGTCAATCGCGAACCAGGTTACCGCTGCCACTGTCCAGAAGGTTTCTGGGGCGAGAATTGCGAACTTGTACAGGAAGGACGAACGCTGAAACTCAGCATGGGCGCCCTGGCGGCCATCCTCGTCTGCCTCCTTATTATCATGAGTGAGCATAGAGCATCCCGCGTGTCTAGACGAGTCACCCTTTCACCAACTCATATTAGCACCCTCATATATCATTTATAGTATCATATATAGTGTAGTGCATGCTTTATGGGCTCAGTGCGCGTTTACGCTAAGGACGAGAGGTAAAGCGCACAATGTATAGGTGTCCGGGTGGATCGACTCGGTCTGGCGGTACGTGTGTGAACGTGAACGAGTGCCTCAACAATCCGTGCTTGCACGGCGGCAAGTGTGTGGATCGCGATCCAGCACGCCGCTACGACTGCATATGCACGTTCGGATACGCCGGACACGACTGTGAACTAGAACTCCTTGCCTCCGGAATCATCATGCCCTCCAGGGATTTCATTATTGCTATCATTGTCTGTTTGTTTTTGCTTTTAGGTGAGCACCTCTTTGTTTTTGCATGCTATCCGTTCATCCGATTTGGGTGTAAACTCATTTTTATTTTAATCATAACTCATGTCTGTTTGATGTTTGGTCAAATAATTAACTTTAACTGTCCCTTGAAGTAGATATCAGTAAGTATTATCATTAGAATCTTTTATAAGTTACATATATAATGCTAAGTAAACTGCTAAAATACTAAGTAAGTTATGCAGCAGAACTCGCAATAAACATGTTTATAAATGAACCAAGCGACGAAGGATTTATTCTATCGTATAATATAAGAAGACTGGCTTATATAGGATGAGTGTGAGTGTAACGCTCTGAAAGCCGAAAATGCACGTATAGTAAGGGATATTCCTAAAAGCTCTGTCCATGCTCCGCTGCATGCGACTAGTAAAGCGATAAATTTAGAGACAGCTACGGGTAGCCAAGTGGTAAAAGGGTACGCGAGATAACAAATTTCAACGCGACTGTTTATTACGATAGGAAAATAAAATATCATCGTGTAAGCGTTAAACTTTAATTTTAATTTTTTTATCAGAATGTGCAGTACTATTTCTACAATAGGAATATGGTGCGCGAACATTTTTTTGAAATATGGGATTTAAAAATAAAATTTTCTTAGAAAAGAACTATTAAATCTAGTATTCACCTTCCCATCACATTTTTTTTAATATACAAATATTTATAAGGATATATTATTCTTAATCTATTTATTGGGAACAGTTCACAATACGCACTAGCTTGTATAAATGTAATCTGTTTATATACTAAGCGACCTCCAGTTCTAAAACCATAACTGGAGTTGTGCCAACTGCTAATATAATCCTCTTATAAACCACCCCATAAATCATACAGATGCATCGACGCTACTAGTATCAAATTTTCAGTTACAATAGGCCGATAAACCCACATTTGGATATACAACAATGACAGTACTAGTCTCTGGTTTAACATCGTGTTTAACATTGTACAGTTATATTAAATTATTGATATTCACATCATCTGAATCATTAATATAAACATTACTTCGTTAAAGTACAAAAAACTATTAATTCTATATACATATATCAATAAATCAATACGTACTCACCAATATAAATATTTCAGTCCTAGTTCTGGTATTTGTGGTGTACAATCGTCGTCGAGAAGCCCACATAAAGTACCCCGGACCGGACGACGATGTTCGTGAAAATATTATTAATTACGATGATGAGGGCGGCGGTGAAGATGACATGACTGCATTTGACATCACTCCGCTTCAGATACCCATCGGTGGACCGTTACCAGATCACGTACCTACAAAATTACCATGTAAGTACATAAATACGAGTGCATACAAATACTAAAGTAATAGGTTTCAGATCACATTTAATTCAATAAATTTGATTTGAAGGACTAACTGGTGTAAAGGCTGAATGGTGAATCAGACAATAGATAGTTTCGTATTCTGATCCTTTCGACCTTAGCCTTTTGTATGTTCAATTGCCTTTTACTTAAAACCCAAAGCACTACCCTTGTAAACGTCATGCCTGTCGTTTGTTCCGGCTGACATAGCTCCAGAGAGATACCACTCCCGATGAATCGTTACAAACGAATTGATTAAAATTCGTGTATTTACAGACAACCTTTGAAATCCACTTTCTGTTTATCAAAGTGAGTCAGTCACCTTTCAGTTAAATTGAAGATTTTGTTATTTATATTTTAGGGTCAATAAAAGTAAAAGTTAATTGTTTTAGGTAATACTTATAATAATTAATGTTATTTTGACGTCGTTCAACTTAATAATATAAGTACTTTACAAAGTTAATATTAACCACGATAATATTAAATATATTCATAAAATTAAATACTATCTTAACGATTCTATTTTTGCCTTAATGTTTCCGGGTGGTTAGGAAATAAACAGTCACGCCACTGGGACAAGCATATACAGATCAAATTGTCCGTAAAATGCCTTTGTACGATAATCCTAAGATTTAAATAAGCCTCGTTTCCGAATACGTTTAATCCTTATCTTACGTTGAGTATATTCAGCTGTTTTACATATTTTAATTATTCTCGAGAGAAAAAATTAGTTCTCTCCTTTTTTGCGTAAACCCTTAAATTTTAGGGTTTATATAAATAAAATGACTTTGATGTTAACGAAGCCACCTTAAAGAATTTTAATAGATATAAGAAGAAACTAAATATACTCGTACTGATATTCAAATTTATAAAATTAAATCTTGTTTGTTTTGATTGCTATATTTGAATTACAAATGAAAAACCGAAACAGTACAATTGAATTATTGTATAATTTTAAATAAATCTTTGCTCAAAAGAAGAATAATTTCTAATAACACCTTCATTCAATTTAATGTAAAGTTATGAGAAATAAAAATTTTTCTTAATGAATATTTAGTTCGCCGTCGATTTGTAATATGTTATTTTTTTCAGATCCATTGATGGGTGTAGGTTTGGGTGTGGGTCCGATGGGAGTATCGGTCGCCCCAGCGGTGGTACCACTTCCAGGGGAGACGAACGTTGGCATGTTCATAGAAGACCACAAAAGACGTGCTGACAGCGACCCTAACGCACCACCGTTTGACGATCTCAGGAATTACGCGTATGAAGGTGGTGGCAGTACTGCGGGCTCCCTCTCGTCCCTTGCTTCTGGTAAACAGGATTTTATAATATAGAAGTATTGCTATTGATTACAAAAGGTACTGTACTTCGTATAATCTAGAATTGAATACAAAATCTACTTTTTAAATTTTAGTAATGATGTGAACTCTACATATATATAAGAATTATCTAACATAGCAACATCCAACGAGATCAAGAGTAATTTGCTTTTCAAATTATAAACCAATAATAGTTAATAATATACGCAGTTCTTTTGTTCCGTTTTGTATTTAAAACGCAAACAACATATATTGTGAATTAAAACCACCATTTCAATGCGTCCGCTAAATACGGCTCAATGTATAATTCCGCTTAAAAGAAATGATTTTGAAAATTAAAAACGTTTGAAGCGTGTTTTTAATATTTAATGAAAAGTATGGAAAAATTCCGTTTATGTGATCCTGTCTGTACATTTTTACTCACGTTCTTTTTTCATTTCGTCTGTGACTTGGATAATTTGATTTCTTTATTATATATCTACATTTCTTTTTGAATATTCATATCAAAAAATTTTTCATGTTATCGAAATGTTTAATGACATACATTTAACAGATCGTATGAATTACGGCTTAGCTTATGTAACATTCTAAAATGTCTCTCATCTTTATAAAGCAGCCGTCTTAATTATAGTTCTAATTTTTCTCCCCTTAAAGGGAACTTTTAAGCTTTATTCACGTCGTTCTTTCTATATACTGAAACAGATGTGCAGTATTTGTGTCAAAGAGCACTCACAGATCACAGGTTTTATTACGGAATTGTACCTTTTAAATTATTGTCAGTTTTTAAAACATTTGTTAATAAACTATAATTTTATTAAATCTATATGTAGTCAAATGGATATCTTAAAATCTATGTAATGTTGTTTAATACTATTTTCATTAAGGTTAGGTTATTGACATATATTTAAATGTTTCATGGAACTAATTTAACCGTGTAGGTACTGACGATGAGGTACATGATTACGACTATTTGGGTGCCTGGGGTCCTCGTTTCGACAAACTGGCTGATCTCTACGGGCCCGAACTCGACGAGCAGCTGTAAACCTCCCAACACCCCGCTAATTAGTCAATTGTCACCATCACTTAACACTCCCAGATATTTAGTATATACGTGCGTGTAACTCTTATCAATTTTCTAAAATTTTTATTTTATACAATAGCTAGCTTAAGTATCTTTTAAGGTATGTGAGTTTGATTACATTTTTACAAGGTTCTAACCTGTCTTCACCAAATATTTGATATTAGTTTTATTCGATTTAGCCATATTATGAGTCAGTATTTTATTGGAAGTTATCTATGTAAGTGGATTACTGCGAGAGGGCCTGTACGTGAATCTGAACGGTGGGTGTTTGTAGATAGTGTGCTATAAATGTGAATAATTTATACGAATATTTTGTAAGTCCACAGCTTTACGTGATATCACTTAATGTATGGCCCTACCGCATTAAACCGATATACCTAATAAAATAAATATGTTATATTTTATATTAATTATAGTAATTAATGTCCCTTTGGACGTCGAGTTTATAATGCTCATTCTACATGTGAGAAATCACTGGGGTATGTATATATTGAGAACAGCCCTCGTTTATCTTAGTTTAAAATATGTAAAACAATTGTCATTTTACTCAAAATTTTATATTAAGTCTGTACAGTAACTGGTGTTCCTCTCCAAGTCTCCATGTAGTGTTAGATGATAAACATTAGAATTATCACGACGGTCTACGGTCTACTCGTGTAGTAGCTAAATGGATAGCGTTCGGAATTTCGTTTGGTGTGATTGTAGCGAATGTTTGATGTCTGTGTCGGGAACTAACTGTGTGAGCACTTACAATGATACGCATTATATGAAATGTCTTATGACAGCCGAAATAAAGCTATTATACCCATACGAATTCCTAAAAGCCTATCAATTCAATATGACAGTATATTTAGTACTAAATGTCATCACGTTCCCGATGCGTTACTCATAAAGGTCCTCAAAAGGAGGCACGCGTGCGTGTCGGATACGTTAATGTACGTGGCGTCAGGCGTGCGTATAAAACGTCGCCTACCTTATCTTACTACGAGTTTACATCGTTTACCTTTAATTTTCTAGTTTCGATGTTTTTCGCGCATAAAATTAATTATATTCGTATCGCGTTCGACTTATGAATGGATAACATCGAATTTAATGATATAACATTATCGTTGCAAACTTGTGGTAAGCATAATATTGTCCATCGTACGTACGTGTGAGTGAGATCGGTATGAATGGGAATGTGCCAATCTATTAGCATCATCGATGCAGCTAATGACCGTAGAGTTAAATGTTTGCACTTTATTTATTCAATATATTTACATATAAAATTAGACGCACCTAGGAAAATATCAATAACATAATAAGAGTGTTGTGCTAGAGTTATACCATCGATTTTGACGTGAGATAGTTGATGCAACCGTTAGAAGTCACTAATGTAATGATAATGTTTAAGAATTTATAATAAAATAATTTAATTACAGGTTCTAAATAACTGTCTCACTTCGACATCGAATTAGGATCAGTGTACATTTTAGAATATACTGAATTATGTTAAAATGACTGATTTATTATGCGTTTGATGCCTAAGAGTTTTGTAGATTCGTTTGTTTGATTGTAAACTTCGAATACTATAATAACACCTAGTATGCACATAAAATATTCAATATTCAATAAATGAAGCAATTCTCGTTAATTAATATTTATGTAAGTAGTCAGTTTGTGAATGGATACTTTAGTTTTTACTGTTCTTTTTTAATGTTACACTGCCAATAATCATATACAAGGATTAAGATAGCGTTCGGTCTGTTTTGTATATTTCAATCTTAACAACGGAGGCATTTTAATTTATTTTTAATATTTATAATCTACCTTCCCCTCCGTATACAATCTTGCAATGTACTGAATATTGATTTTCCTCTCAAGCTCTGCTTTGTCTCGTGTACTATATAATGATTAGATTTGTGTGTAGTGTTTGGGCGAAGCTATTATACATAGAAATTTCAACAACTACGTCCGACACTAATCTAGGAATCTCCTCACGCTTGCTCCTTGTATGGAGCGCCACGAAACGCTATATATTTGAAAGTTTTTTGTACACTTAATTAAGACAGCAGAGCACAGAACCCAGTACAAAGTATGAGTGTTCCGATCGCGACACGGTTTTTTTTATTTTAGACAGTAATTAATTATTGTACCTACATAGTTATGTTTTGTTTCAACTGTGATTATTTAGTTGTACAACTCTGATGATTACATAAAACAATTAAATAAAATATTTGAAAATATGCGTTTTTTATTTCGTAATCCTGACCCATAAAATATGTATAAGGTATCTTATTTGAAATAATAAAGCGATCCCTATGTTAAAATATATAAATGCTAACTAAGACATATATAACTAAAATAAAAATAGGAAGCTACTGTATATTGGTTTCAATTTTGTACAAACTATTTTAGTCATGGATAAATATTAAAAATAAAGCAATACAAAAATGATTTACATCTTCAGTATTTATTTCATGGTACAGTCATAAATTTCCGGAGTATCATAATTATCGTCAGTTGATTAATATTTCAAAAAGGCGAATAACGAGCATAAGCAGCGGATTATCTTTAGATACCACAAATATTAATGATACAAATTAAAAATGTAATTCCTTAATAAATCTGAGATGATCCTTTGCTATCTATCTCTCGTTAATTACTCCCCCAACTGATTTGCATATTTTGGTGCACGTTTACGTTCTGTTTGTGTCTTTAAGGGAAAGCATATCCAATTTAAAATTAATTAAATCTTGTTACTCTGTATACTGTTGTTATCAAGCAGCTTCATTTTAATTAACTAAGATTTTATTTGAAAACAGTTTATAAATATTTAGTACCTAAAATCAACTTACAATTTTGTAATTTTACTTAATGTCTTTTTCGACTATGTTACATAATTTAAAAGTTTACTGAAATATATAACGAATAAGATAACATTTTTTTTATTATTAAAAAACATATTTAGTAGAAATAAATATTATACAACATGGTATTGACTTCAACTTCGTTCTCCTGACTTTGTAATCAGGTTCAGAGAAAAAAATGAAGTGTATAGCAACAAATGACATTGTAACTCACCGATGGCGACATCTTCAGGATGTTTTAGGTGGGTTTTTTGCAAAACACAACTGTCGAACCATGAGCAAGTGACTACCAAATTCTGGTATAGAATAGGTCTTATTCTAATACAAAAATACATAACTAAGTTTTCTTAAAATCGCCTAAGTCAAACCGCCTTTGCGTTGAGAGCAACATACACTTATATGTATATGCATACAAACGTCTACAAATCCCTATATCTGATAAACTTTCGTATTTATAATATTAGTGAAATTGATTTCTTCTAATTTGTTTTTATGTAGATCTTAACATAATGAAATGTTTTTTTATAAATATTCCAACTTCAATGAAATCTGAAATGTCTTTTCATTATTTCTTCAATGCCGTCCTTTACAAACATAAAAATAATATCAAATTACTTGGATAAAGTTAAATTTGTACAAACATTTTTATCTGATTTTTATTAAATTAACTTATATTTGAAACACAAATAACTATTATAAATTAAAGTAAAACAAGACTTCAAATAACTCTTATTAATACATAGCTCAAAGGCATTTAATTATTGTAAAAGAAGCTATTAAGAACTTTTTTACAATATTTTCTTCAACGAGACAACTCGTGAAATACGTAACAATTTTGAGACATTCCTTTTTACTTTAATAACTATAAAAAGCTTCCAGCTGACAACTGCTGAATTCACTGAACAAGAAAATAAAAAACAAAACAGTAGAAGAACTAACAGCTAGACAATCTTAAAATCAAAGGAAAAGAAAATTATCTCATTTTTAATTTTAGCTCTTACAAAGATTTCATCTTGAAATCGTATTTTAAAAACGTCTACTATGTAATATATTGATTTTACATTCACTTAATAAATCTAGCTCATTATTCCAGTTTCCAGCGAAACGTATAAATTCAATAATGGCTTCTTACATGGAAGAAGACAACATTATACTAACATGTTACAATTAATGTACGTATATTTTAGACTTTTCAATTAGTATTTTATATTCCCAGAATTCATCACGCGAAAGTTTTAATAGAAGTATTAATATACATATAATATGTATAAGTAACATTTAATTGATATTATATTATATGTAAAATAATAATTGAGAAAAATTTAAAAGAAAGTGATGCTAACGTTATGAAGAAATGCATGTCAAAAAAATCTAAATCCAAGTGAACAAAGTTGCAGTTGAATTTTCTTTTTAAAGCTTCTTCGAATATATTAAATCAATATGAAAAATGATGCTAATTGATTTACCACCTCTAAGAAATAGGTGTGTTTTAACTTACTTCGATAATAATATTATAAATAAACGGCATACATGTTTGGAATTATCACAGATGTACTCAAAGAGGGTTAAACGTAATAAGGATAATCCAGGCTCTTCAGATGATCTGTTACGATGAAGTTAATCCAAAACTGCTAATGACCTTGATCGGAAGCATAGGAGATACCACATTTATTGAGAGAATTTCACCATTGCCTTCATTAAGGTTAGGATAGAAATTCTAAATTCTGTGAAATACAATAGAAAGGTTTTTAGTTAACTATATTCATGTTGTAGACATTGTATTAATAACTTCATACTATTTACATACATTGTATTATCAAGTTTTAGTCAAATTGCTAGCATTTAAATTAAGAACTACAAAAGAAATTAGGATTTCAACAAAAATAAACTTGTAAAACATTAATAGGAAGATTTCAATATTTTTAATTTCGAGTATTCCACACTATGGAAAACATGAACATCAAAAATTCAAATAGAATTATTACAATGAAAAATTTCGTTGATAGTAACAGGTTTGTGTTTACAATTATTTCCTTTCCAGTAAGAAAACGAGCCTTGTCTCGCGTCCGTGTATTAAGAATTGTGTATTGTGTATTCAAAGTCATATCGTATTAATCGTCATATGACTGCTAGTCATCTTCTAAGAAATGCGAGTGGTAGGATGAAAGACATATTTCAATTTAACGCATCTAAAATACAGACTATACGTCTTATCCTTAGATACCACGAGAAAT